GCTCTTCTGCTTAATCACCACCCCCTCCTCCATCCCCAACAGCACCAGGCCAAGATCAAGTCCCTGACAGACTATACACAGAATGTGGAACAGAAGAAGAGGCATCTGGAGGAGAGTCAGGATGCCCTGATGGAGGAGCTGGCCAAACTCCACGCTCAGGGTGAGGCCTTCAGGCTCCTGCCAGTTCTTGGTTAAACTTGCCCTGGCCCTAAATCCTCATTTGGGAACCAAGAGAGCAAAATCTACTTCAACTCCAGAATGTATCAGCAGTGCAGCCACACAAAATGACACCTGTAGGGAAATTACAATGGATACATTGGCTTTGTTATAATAAAATGCAGTTACACATACACTGCACATGGAGAGTGGTATTACTGATAAGTAAACTGACTTTTGAAATTCCTGTGTAAGCATACAATTGGAAGCTGTCATGGATACAGTGATGTGAGAGAAATCCATCTCCAGTTGCCCTTAAAGAGACATGCCACATGCAACAGGATGACATCACCTCTGCCGTAGAACTGCCACCAGCTGCATGTGTTATGTCCCACAGAGAAAATGCATGAGATGTCAGTGATGGACAAGGAGAAAGAGCACATGAGCAGGCTGCAGGACGCGGAGGAGATGAAGGTCAGCGCTGCTGCTGGTTACGTTTCCCAGAGAGCCAGGTTCTCTGTGATTCCCTCGCTTGGGAACCACAGTGCCTTCTACTGTTGATGAGTAGCTTGTAAGATGCTGGTTGGACCCCAGTTTGGGAATAAAATTAAAGCTAATGTAATTAACCCTGAATTCAGGGATCTGGTAAGCAAACCTGTAATTGTAATTGAGGAGGCTGATGTGACAGATAAGGGAGAAGCAATTTTTTTCATCCTTAATTTAGTAAATTAATTATCTCCTTCATTTCATTAAGAATGGTGTGGTCTGCGTGACGATGTCAGGGACATTGGTTATTCAAAACAAGATTATTATGTAAATTTTTGGTGCCACGGGCAACAATGCTGCTCTGCCCCAGAATCACTACTTGACTGAAGTATGGGACCTGGAAGGCTGCTGTCTGGATGAGTGGCACTCTGGGGGGGCAGGGGTGGAAGGCCTATGACCTATGACCTGTGTGCTGTCTAACCACTGCCCCTACCCCTCTACAGAAGGCCCTGGAAGAGCAGATGGAGAGCCACCGGGAAGCTCACCAGAGGCAGCTGAGCCGGCTGCGTGATGAGATCGAGGAGAAGCAGCACACCCTGGATGAGCTCAGGGAGTAAGAGGCCCTGGCCTGGCTGGACTTTCACACTGTCACCTTCTCACTCACCCACGCAGGTCTTTGACTCTCACTCTCCTTAAGCCTCAACCAGGGTCTGCAGCTGGAGCAAAGGAAGCTGATGGCCGACAACGAGAAGCTGAAGGCGGAGGAGCAGGAGAAGGATGCGGAACTGCGGAAGCTTCTGTAGGTGTCTCCTAGATGTCCACACCTTTCTGCCATTACTGGTGCGAGATAGAAAATGACTGTTCCTGACTAACTTACCGATCATCTACCCATGCTTCAGTCTGCTGGAGGAGAAAAGGCAGCAGGCCAAAGACGACCTCAAAGGTCTCGAGGAGACTGTGGTAAGTGCTGCCTAAGGACATCAGGATTCACATATTACATTTGTTCATTGCCACTAATATTAGACTCCAACCTTATATTTTTATTTAAACCATCTAATAGTTCAGGTTTAGGACATTTGTCAAGAGTAAAAACTCCTTCTGGGAAGTTTATGTCCTTATGTCCCATGCCACCTGCTCTCCTGTACATCCACCTGTAGATAATATGCTAAAGGATGCTTGGGCTGAGGCTCCTCTCTGCTTTCTTTCTCTGAAATGCTGTGTTCTGTGTTTGCACAGTGCAGGGAACTTCAGTCCCTCCACAGCCTACGAAAGCTCTTCGTGCAGGACCTCACCACCCGTGTCAAGAAGGCAAGTCGTCACATCTTCCGCCAATGCGCAGCAGGTCCTCCTCTGTGAGCGTGGCTGTTGAAGAGTGTGGTGTGCTCAGCGACGCGCCCCCTGGTGGTGAATGACATTTCCTTCTGTTCCTCTAGAGTGTTGAGCTGGACTGTGATGATGCGGGTGGCAGCATTGCCCAGAAGCAGAAGATCACCTTCCTGGAAAACAACCTGGAACAGCTCACCAAGGTTCACAAGCAGGTAGGGAGACCATGGTGAACAGGAATTAAACATATGATTAACTAAACAGGAAGCTGCAAAGAAACATATTTTGATTGTAAGAGTATTCCTGAGGGAAAGTAACTCTAATCCCTCCACTGATAAAATGAACATCTTACAGCAAACATTGTCAACAATGTTTGTTTCTGCAAGCTGCCTTGTGGGGGTGCTGGATCACCACTGACATAATTAATTCTGAAGAGTGTGGGTGTTATGAAAATGAACAGGGCAATTGTGAAATCTAAAAGTGGTCCAGTCATTAATAGAAGCTGGATTTCAGGCACTAAAACTGTACAGACCCTGGTCAGATTGTCACATTGCTGGTCACTGGTTAGGTCAGTACACCGGTTATGTCGTTACACTAACCTGCGGTGCCCCTTTTTGGCCCCCAGCTGGTGCGGGACAATGCGGACCTGCGCTGCGAGCTGCCCAAGCTGGAGAAGCGTCTGCGTGCCACAGCCGAGCGCGTCAAGGCCCTGGAGTCGGCCCTGAAGGAAGCCAAGGAGAACACGGTGCGCGACCGCAAGCGTTACCAGCAGGAGGTGGAGCGCATCAAGGAGGCCGTGCGCGCCAAGAACATGGCCAGGAGGGGGCACTCCGCGCAGATCGGTGAGAGCACCGCAGTACTAGGGGAAATAAAAATCAATGATCTGCTGATCTAGTTCTACTGTATGGACATGGTGCTGAAGCATTGTGGTATCACCCTTCTGCATTTTCACACCTTCCAGCACCAGTTAAATTATGTCATTTTAACGTATAGGCACCTGTCTCCGGAAATGACAGTCGGGGAGTATGGAAATGGGAAGTTAACTCTTTTTTTGGGTCATGAGACTGGCCGCAAGTGAGTTCCCGTTCTTTTTTTTTCCACAGCTAAGCCCATCCGGCCCGGTCACCACCCTGTGGCCTATCCCTCCCCAAGCCATTATGTCCGTGGAGGTGGGGCCGCTGGTGGCCAACAGCATCGCCACAGCAGCAAGTAATGGACTGGGTGAGTGCCAAGAGGGCTCTCTGAGGCGTCCGGCCAGGTGCCTGTCTCAAAAAGAGTGAAACAATGGAAAAAGAGTCTGATTTGTGATCTGAAGCTGTTCAGCACCCATGACTTGAAAAATAAACAATGAAACACTCAGTAAGACAAATGGCAGACCTTTCAAAATACTGCATTACACACACAAATCAGAGACTAAGTTTAGACTAAATTTAATACTAAACAACACTTAACACTAAATTTACTATCAAATGATGAAATTCAGACACATTACATACAGTTTCTACACACCACCTGGCCTGTCTGCATGTCTTTGTACTGCTGAAGGAAACTGAAGTATCACTTTCGCAGCCAGTATTTTCGTAGTTAATATTTCGAATTCATGTAGGCAATGACTTTGCTGTGAATTAATGAAAGACTTCACTAGAGGGCGATAAAACCTCAAAATAATGGCTTTCTCCCGCAAATCCGTTGAACTACAATGAAGCCAGTGACGTGTGTTCTGTGGGATCTTCCTAGCAGGGCTCTCCAACTCCGGTCCTGGAGAGCTACTATCCAGTAGGTTTTCTATCCTACCTGGCTTCCGATGAGCCACACCTGTTCCTGGTTTATACTTGAGAACAGGTATGGCTGAGCTGGAGATCCCTGCGTTAGAGCATAGGGCACAAGGCAAGGCTACACTTTGGACAGGACATCTGTCCAGTGCAGGCCAGGTACATGTATATATATACACACATACACACACACACGTTTGTATTCGTATATTTAATGGGACTCACCATATCTATGGGAAAAACCCTAATCGCAACAATTACAACCGTAACCCCTACCCAGCCCTAACCTTAATCAAACAAAATGCAAGACTTTTGGCATTTTTAGTTTTTTGATTGCAGTCACAGATTTTTGTAAAATTTGGTTTCCTCTTGTGGGGACTGAAAAAAATGCCCCACGAGGGCAAAATAACGGGTTTTACCACATTGTGGGGACATCGGGGTCATAATAGGAGTGGCTTCTCACCTGCCATTGTCACTTTCTTTTTCTGCAGAAGGGGATTCCGGGCCAGCAGTATTCAGAAGGCTTGCCCATTGGTACAATTACACCCCCCCACATGCCACTTGACCTGAAGCTACCCCCCCCCACCAATCACAAACACACATCCCAAATGATTCATTACCTCAACCACGTCTCAGAGGCTCAGCAAGTGTCTCGACTGATGGAAGCAAAACAAGAACTATGGACCAAACCTCCACCTCCTCACCTTCAAGCCCCTGGCTGGCTGAGGTTCACCAGATGGAGAAACCCCTAGGCTGAAAACTACTGCCTGCATCTCCAGACCCCCTGCAGCAGCTTTGACCCTCCCGCCATCTCAGGGTCCTAGTCACTGGCAGTATTCTTAGTGACTCCCATGTTCAAGTTCAAAAATCTTTGGCTTTGTGATTTCTGTGATCCTACTCAAAAAGCCACTTTGCCCCCACCCCCCTATCGCCCCTCAAATGTTCCAGAAAACTAAATAAGTTAAGTCAGAAGATGCCACAGCAGCATCTCCTAAATAAAGAATTCCTTCATGTAATATTTAATGTGATGACTGTTTGTCTTGGGGGCCCCATGTAAATACGTGGTTTGATTAGTGGTAAACACAGTCGCAGCAAACACCCACATTTCTGATTGGCCGTTCGTGTCATGTGACCTGCCTCCCTGTCTCGTGATTAGATTTGTTTCTGGACGGCTTGTCATATGGTGATACCAGTAAATCCCCCACCCCCAAGAAACAGAAACCCTCACCTGTTACAGTCACTTCATTAGGAGGGAATTTACTGTATCCCTTATCTTCTGAAGGAAGAGCAAAACATGGAATAAAATTGCTGAGGATTTAGGGTTTAGACCTGTTGGACACTTACACCCTCAGGAAGGGCACGGGGGATGTTAAATCTTCTCTGGGTGGTGGGAAATCCCTCCCCCCCGTGACAATGATCTCTCTAGCAATGAGGCCTCTTGTGTCCACCAGAACGGACAGTTTGTTGTTTTCGTTCTATTTGCACAAACTTAATTTATCTGTACGTTTTATTTTGAACTAATTTCTGTTGCTTTTACATTTTTTTTTACATGCTTTTAGTGTGTTTTCAGATGTATGATTGCGTTTAATTTATTCAGCTGTAATTTTTTGTCCAGATATTTTATTTATTTCGCACTTATGAAAATGTTTACAAAATTATCTGAAATGGCGCAAGATGAACACGGACCTGTTTCTATTACCATGGGTGTAATGTTCAAATCGACGGGACAGAAAAAAACTTGTTATACCTTTTTACTTCGGTGCGTTTTCATTTGACCGGGCAGAACGATACAACACATAATGGCTGGCCCGGTGCTATTTCTTCATAATCTTTAATCCTAATGGTTCCTGTAATATTCAACCAAAACCAAAGTATGACTCCTTGTAGTTGTTTTTTTTTCTGGAAGGTTTACTATGGAAGATTACGTTTGATTATAATGGCAGTGATGCTGATCAGCAAATCAGTCCATCGTGCCGTGAAAAGAAAAAAGGTGGCCTTTTAACGAAGCTGTTTTTTTTGTTGCTGAATTTATGGTCACGTTTGCTATTTCCATGTTCCCCCGACTATGAATTATACAGGATCGCTGGTCATTAGGACTCCGGGTTTATTTTTACATGCATGCGAGTACGAATTCTCATGTAGAAACTCGCCTGTGCTGATTAAATGAATCGGTTAATGTATAAAGATAATTTGTCTTTTGACAGAGTAATCAGAGCAGTGTGCCAGCTGACCTTGGTCTACATGCATATACTACTGTGCACCTACAGTAACTTCACACGACCTTACATGCCTTAACTGTGGACCTGCAGCCCCCCCGACCCCCTACTCAGCAACCGGTCTTCAGGTTACGGACTTTCTTTCGATTCTAATTTTTTGTACCTAAAACTGGACTGATCACATTTTTTCCTGAATGTAAATTTGCCCTGTTTGTCAAAACAGTATAAATCAAAGCATTTTGCCTAGAAATGTACTTGTCATAAATTCATTTTATTTTTTCTAAACAATGGTTTTCATGTTGGTTATTAATCCTGCTAATAGCCCCGAAAGGTAATCATTACTAACAGTTTCCTGCTGTCTGTTTTCACACGTTTTGCCATCATTTAACAGGAAATGAAACTCACACACCGGCATTTCCTACCTAATGGCATCTGGGTGTTAGTCTGACATTTTCTACATTTATAGAGATACTTTATAACCAGACTCCGTTCTTCTTATTTATTTTTCATACCTTTATTAAAGTATGTATCCGTTTTATTCACTTCTGTTTTGAGATAAGGTTGCTCGTGTGTTGTTTGGCGTATCTGCGCCTGTCTTGTCTAACACACTGGACAGGGTCACGTGAAGAAGGATCCTTCATCAGTTAATACTGAATTTAAACGTAGGCACCTGATGACCATAATCCCAATCAGCCCTGTGCCGTCCAAAGACTGAAATGTAACTCAGAAATTCTTCATGCTGATTTTGCCTCCAAATCATGTGTCGCAGTGATGTTTGACCTTAACTTTGAGGTACAACTTGTTAAATAAACTTGCTTAACATACTTAAGAAAGTCTTCTGCAGCTTAATGCCAGTTATTGGGTGTGTTCACATCACCCCCCTTCCCCTCCACTTCAGTTGTACTGAATTCATTCCCCTGGACGTGATCTATTAATCTAAAGCTACACCAAAACGAAAGATTGCTTAATTTTTCAATTCATGGCTATTTTTCACCCATCTTGTCAACCCCAGGCAACTGATGAATGTATACTGAAAGTTACACGATTGTAAAGTTTTGAGCAACTTAAAACCCAAGCTTAAATATGATGCACTGAAGACCTAAGCCCGGTTCCTCTTCGCTACCATCTCAAACACATTTAAATTTCTTCTCCAAAATTGAGCGCAAACGTCCCGGCGACGATACTAATTGGGGATTAAGCTTCCATCTATCCGTCCATCTAGTGGATCCTTTGGGTATTTTGCTGTGGCGTAACGTTTGTCCATTTATCTCGTGAAACGTGGCCGTGTAAACTGCAGATGTGTCATGCTGTATGTAAAACATCCTTTTTTATACGTTAATGATGTGCTAAGTTAAATATACATAGGAGTAAATGGAACGATCTACCAGTTAAAACTGGGTTTAAAATCGACACCACAAATAACACTCCCAGTTAATAAATCACCTGTAGTTGGTTTGTATTTTGGCTAATGCCAGTTATTACTGTACGGTGTATTTTTTAAGCGTGGAAAAAGGTATAAATAAAGTCGTATAAAACTTTACATCTATGTAAACCTCTATGACTCCTCTGGGATCTTTTTCAGGCTTAAACATGGAGCCGAAAACGTGCTTTCTTGAAAATAATTAACATGTCAGATAGCCTACCTGAGGGTGCGTGTCAATGGTTACTTAATCTTAGGGTTTATTGAATTTCAAAGACTGCTAAATTTACCATCGGGTATAATGTGAATTATTAATGCAATATATGCAACTGAATCTCGAGTTTTAGCTTGTGCAACTCAGTATAAAAAATATATCTAAATAAGTAGTAATAACAGTAAGACTGGTTGGCAGTAAAAGGCACCAGGAGGGCAGTGCACCCTTTCCAGATCCTGGGTCTCTCCCTTACCTGCTCCTGCACCCCGCCTCCGCTCGTCTTTCACTCCGCCCTTACGCAGTCACCGCCAGCGGCGGACAGGGAGCGGCATACAGGGAGCTGAGCCCCGGCGGGGACGGAGGTACGAAGCAATCCTGGCTCTGATCCCCGCAGCAGCGTTAGGAGTTTGCACTGACGGTAAGACGCGGTCTGTGTAATGGGCAGAGACTTCACAGTCCAAGATAGTAACTTTGACACAGGTTTCATTTTAAAAGCCGCAAATCAAATCTCCGATCGGCGTGCGGTTTTAAGGTGGATCCCACAGGGCACCCGGGCTTTATGGATTTTAATTCTCCGCAATCAGATGATAAGGCTGTTGAGGGGTCCAAAGCCAGCTGCACCGACAAAAGCCATTGTGAGACCCCATTGAAATGAGCTCAGACTGACGGTTTAGGTTTGGGACACAATGGGCCGAAACTTTGTATACTGTCTGAACCGGGGCTTTCAGACTCCCCAGTCTCGGTAGAATGTGTTCAAACGCGGTGCAATATGACTTCTGTGAATCTGGATGGGAAGGAGAAATTCGCATTTGATAGACCTAATACACAAAAATATGTTGCGATGCGTTTCCTCGGAAACGTGTATGCATTTGGGTTTGTTCTGTTTAGGTGTATTACGTGTTTGTGTGTGGGTTTGGGGTTATACGTATACGCCTGTGCATTTGTGTTTGTGGGGGGGCGGCCCTAACATTTGCCAGGTTCCCTGATCTACTACCACAAACTGCTTTAGGCATGTCCGAAAATGACGGTTCTTAAAGAAACATCTTGATGAAATTAATTTTAAAATAAACTATATAATAGCCTAGTATTTATAGGTGGCTAAATCGTTCTATTTATCAGTGAGTGCATATAATAGGCTACATAGTGATTTGAATGGGATTCTCAAACCTACAGAAACAAAAAAATCTTGTTTAAAATAACATAACGATATTGAAGGAAAAAGAAAATGAGATAGTGATACCGTTTTTATGTGGAAACCACTCTTGTGGATGCGAATGAAGCAACTTAAAGGGTGTTTTAATGTTAAACGTCTACTTTTCTATGTATATGCAGGGAAAGCGTTTACTCTGTTAAACTGAGTGTGGTGTAATGCATAATGAACGAAACGTTGGGGGGTGGGGGTTAGGCGTGAGAAAGCCTTCTTTGATCTGTTTATTATAGTGTAAATAAGATGGAATATTGTACCTGATTTTTAAACGTTTTTGTCTCTATGGGGAACGGTATCAAAATTTACGGTTCAGCAGATATTGCACCCAAGACGTGAATTATGTTTTTCCTAATGTGTTACGCTTAGCCTGTTTACAACAGTGTAACAGTGACAGGTACCATACCTAACAGTACCATGCGACCAGCATCTCACTTTTCAGGTACTTATTGCATGTTTCAGGCAAAAAGCTGACCTTCAGGCGCACTCTCTAACAATGCTAATTGCTACGCCTGTTCACCTTCGCTTCCTTCAGCTTGTCCACCCTGTGTGTCTTGTAATCCGGATTCTTGATCATCCGAGCTTGAAGACCTGTGTCACAGGCAGCTTGGGTGGGGGCAGGCGTGTCTGTGAGTGATTTTCCTGAGCAGCCAAGAGTGAGATGTACAACCGCTCCCCTCCCCGACACACACCGCAAAACCCACTCCAAAACCCCTGTGTGACTGTGAGTGACTATGCTGTCCAGCACAGCACTGAGAAGGTCACCTCATTTTTTGCATCTGTGGTTCCCTGTAGACTGCTGGCAGTTGCAGTCATGTCTGTCAGTCCCTCAGCAAGCCCCCCCAAGGGGGAGACCCCATGATTAGGAAGCTGTTTATGGAGTCGTAACATCTGTAGATATAAGCAAACGACTGAAAGAATAAGGTTTAATGATGAGAAGTCAGAGCTGAAAATATTAATGAAATCAATATTTATCGAGAGCTGAGAATGGAGTGTATTTTTACAGGTCTGGTTGTTCATGGGCTGCTGGGCACACAAACTCCCTGTCAGGGCTACTGTGCCTTTTAACCAATGCTTATAGCAAGGGTGTCAAACTCCAGTCCTGGAGCACCGGATCCTTGCACATTTTTGGGTTCACCCTCATTTAACACACCCCATTCAACTCCTTGTGCTAATTGGCACACAGCTTTTGAGCTGAATCATTTGTGGTGGAACTGGGGAAGAACTAAGCTACAGTGGGCTCCGCCCCCCAGAACTGGAGTTTTGATACCCCTGCCTTACAGCATGGAGTGTTTGTAAAGGTAGGACGGCGCCCCCTCTGTCTGTCTGATGGAATGCAGTCCAGTACTCAGAAGAGCTTTACCGATTCTGTAGGGTTTCTGTAATACTGTGATTATTGGCAATTGGTGGAGACGAATTCTTTCCCCATGTTTTATTAGCTTTAAAAGTCTGAACCTTCTTTAGCTGAACTTGGTGTTGAAATGTTGTTTCCTTTGCCGGCTTGTTTACAGACGCTTCCTTTCAGGGACCAAACCTAATCCTAAGTGGTTACTTAGGGTCACGCGGTGCCACTTGTCTGTCTCTGGGCCGGCCCAGGCAGCTAGAGGGAGCTGACGGCTCACAGCTGTTTAGCTGCCCTTGATTATGCGACGGCAGCAGCTGGAGTCATGACCCGTGACACTTGTTTCAGGTTTGGTGCAGCCCGGCCAAGTGGTATCTGGTTCTCGACACTTCTGCACAGTTTCAAGCTTTTTCTGGTTATTCTCATCCTTCTTTGCGGTCACAGATGGGGGGGGGGGGGGTTAGGAGGGGGGTATGCCTGCTTCACCTCTGTCCCTCACACATGTAATTTAATATGCTCCATATTGTCCCCGTCCCTCCCCCCTTTCAAAGTGACACCCTTTTTTTCTTGTATTGACGGGCTGTGACCCAGGAATGGTGATTAGTCCTGAATTACTGGGGCTTGGGGGGTTAGGGTTAGGGTTAGGGGGTCACGCCCACTTCCTGGTCCAGTTTGAGCCACACTAAGGAGGCAGATCTTTAGCTCCACCTACTGGTCACCAGGAGCCCATGAAGATAGGGTTCGAGCAGTCTCTGCGTATCATGGGCTCATCTGGTTGTCTAGCAAGGCCTTGATGGAGTCCTGAGCCGCCAGTGGGCCTTATATGGGAACCGAGCTGGGGGGAGGGACATAGGGGCGATTGCCTGGCCGTACCTTTTCTTTCCATGTGGCATGTAAACTGTGCCCTTTTCTAAACTAACAGTGGGAGGGGGGGCTTGAAATCCACAATGGGGGGGTGACTCTCATGATGGATGAAAAGCGACTGCATGACAACTCCACCGAGATTAATGATGGGTGACTTTGTTAGCTCCTCGCCCCCGGTATGCCTGGCTGTGCCGGGTCGTGGCTGCCTTTACACCCCCCCCTTCCCCCGCCCGGCGCCGTGCTCGGAGTCTTACCGCGCTCGTCCGCGTCCCCGCCCACCAAAGGTTCCTGCGCTCGGCAGGCCTGCTTTGTCAACATGTCTGAAGGCGTCCCGAACTCTCCTCCATCTCTCTTTGTCCTCCGTGTCCTCGACCCACGTGCTCTGACTTAATCGCAGGCGGCCTTAAAATTCTGGCGCGGTCCTGGCACTGAAAGGCGGGAAGTGCAGGGAATACGCTGGTCTTTCTCTTTCTGGGTGTCTGAGGTGATAATGGATGGAAAATGGCCCCCGCACGCACTGTGCTCCTATTGGCCCGGGCTGCAGCTGGGATAGTCCAACCTGCCCCAACCCATAATAAGCATTAACACAGCATGTTTCTGTTTGCCTTTCTGACCGCAATGCTTGCATGTTTTCTTTATTCCCTGAGCTATTTTTTAATAATTGCCTGTTGATATGTCTGTACACCTTTCATTTTCTCTCCGCATTTGGTTTTCTGGATTTTTCTCTTCCTCTGTAAATCCTTCCGTTCCTCTGAGCCCTCATGGGCACCTTGGGGGACATAGCTCCTGTTTCGTCCTCGAGTGCTTCGACCCCCATGTCTGTCATGGGACATCCAGAACCGTGGACTAGCTGCAGCCCATGCCAGCACAGCAGTGTTCCCGTTAGCAAGTCCTTCTGGCATAATGGTTCCCTGTGATTAAAAACAAGATATTGTTCATTTACTGTTGAGTTTTTGTTGTGTTCAGCATTGCATTAGCATTTTAGCATTTTTATACGTTACATTTTATACATTACTGCCTTTTGAATATTTTTGTGACATTATGGTCTCTGGGTTTTTTGTGTGGCGCTTTTAGGCCCTGAATAGCTGGGGCTGCACACAGCTCAAAGTCTTGGGGGCAGGCTGGGTATCTATGGTCCTAGAGACAGTCGAGGAAGAGGGGGAGACTGGCAAACCACGGCAGGAAAAGCAGCAGCCTCTGCTAAATTGCCTTGGCGTGACTCCCAGGCGGGACAGCTGAAAGGTACGATTTAATCTTAACCATTAAGGCGGACGCAGAAGGATCAGAGGCTGGGAGGTGCTTTGCCTCTCATCGCTGGGGAAGATTAGATCGCCGGCTGAGATAAACGGTGCCGAGTGAAGGGGGGGGGGGCAATCTGGCCTGGGGTCCACCGTGTGACAGAGTGTAACGAGACAGCTGCTGGGACAGGTAACCACTGCCTTAATTAGTTTGATTATATGCTCGGTTGACCTGGACCTTCGACAGGGGCACTGTGA